TTTGTACTTCTTGCCACTGTTGTTGACTTTCCTGTAGTTGCTGCTGACTTTCTTCCTGTTTCCTTTCTTGTTCCTTGCTTGTAGCTTTGCATTAAAATAAACAAATCGCTGTACTTAATATTCACTCAAGAGGTTTTCATGGTTACACAAATGAAATATGAAAACTAAGCTAAAAATACGTATTTTCATTATTAGCATAAAAATCAGGTTGACTCAGTAAAGACCTCATAAACTTATGGAGAAATGTTTAGTAAAAATATCTTATTGAAAAATTAATTTTTGTGCATACCAGACTACTAAAAGTTTGTCAAATTTCATGAAGATACACTTATTACATTCAGTTATAGTGTGTATAATTTCATGATTACAAGGTATTTCAAAGGTGGATCAAATCAATCAACTTCATCCTGATAGAGTTAATGCTGTTACTTGGGTTTCTCCCTATAAATTTTACTAAAATTACTGAATATTTCTCGATGAAAATAAATGTTACTTGGTGATATCGGTTATAAACAAGAAAAATATTAAATATAATGTTATCAAGTTTTATTGGATGTTACCCTAGCAGTGCCTTATGGATTACCAATAGTATATTAAAGGTATGACCAGTGAGAATCAGTGATCCTTATACGCTGCATTTTGTTTTAAATATGTGTCAAAGACACTTACACCTTTAACCTTTATAAGACTTATGTATTGCATGGTGGTCAACAGTTATAAGATCTACTAACTTGTACCAAAGAGCTGAAACTTATAATAAAGTTTGACTTTTTTTGACAATGTGGAACTTTGTTATAACTTAAGTAACTAATGACTTTTTTAAATAAGTTGGATTTCACAATATTTACAAATTAATTTTGAATGTAAACCCACAATCGTCACATTTTGTGTACATATTGTTTTATTATAAAAAAATTCTGTGACTGGCCATGGGTTATAGTCTCTAGCACAAATGGGCTATTGACTTAACAAATTAATATAAACCCACGAATTTTTAAGTAGGTTTAGTACATTTACATCTTAGTAAGATTAACTGATATATTATCTTAAGACTTCACTTGATAATAACTGACAAAGCAAGAGATATAATAAAGGGGGGCTAGCAGAAATGCAGTTTTTGTAGTACATATAGGGCTAATGATGTAGGGAATGATAGGTCAGAGAAGCTATTTAATAAGTACAACTCCTCCCTTACATATTAGAATATTAAGTAATTCTTTATTTGATATTAATATACTTTCAATAAGTGCACGGTTTCAAGAACTTTTGTTTTTGCATGTACATCTAGTTCTTGTTCGTATATGGAAACAGCTTAACCGTATGTTCGTAGAAACATATGAGTACAGTTAGCTTTAAACAGTCTGTAAGTCTTATTCATTAAGTATTGTTTCATCTGACACTTCCACTAGAGTAAGCATTTGATAAAAAAGGTAAAAAAACAATAATAACTGAGGTGTCAAATCTTAAAAATTAAATCACCGTAGAAGAAAGGTTTCATGCTATTTCAGTTTTAATATTATTATTGCTAAAAGCGAAGAGAGGAGGGGTCGTGCCCGAAAAACAACCCCATTGGAAACCTGCCCATGGTACCTGAACAAGCGTGATTCCACTAGTTTGTGAAAGGGATATGAATACAGTTTCAAAAATGATGCTCCCGAGATCCCATGGAGGCCCAGTAACACAAAATATGATGCTACATGCGGGTTTAGTGGCCCTGGAAATGTATTCCTATACCCACTATGCCTAAGTGACCTTCTGAGGGTCTTTTAGCCTCCCTTGGTATCTCTATCCAAGTTTGGTTCTACTAGCTCCATAATTGTAAGAGTTCGAAGGCAAATAAACAAATGAATTTACATACCCATAATATGAATTAGTATTGGATTATTAATCAACACATACGCACTTGAGACAGGAGGCTAAAAGGTAATTGCTAACTCATTTTTCAAACAGGGGAATATGCTGCCCTCACCCCATATTTTTACTAAATTGAAGTTGATAACATATGTGCTTTTTGAGATTTCTGTTTTCTTTCAGTTAAATATAGCCACAGAAAGTCGACCAAGTAAACACATTAACTTTTCCTGATTCAGGACCTGCTGAAACCTGAATTCACTAACTGGCAATTAACCGAATATTCTTGCAGGAAAGATGAGTTGTGATGTCTCAAAATAGAAAGTTTTTTGTTTTGTTTTTCTGTCAGCGAATCAGTTTATGACCAAGAGCTTACCCGCCCCGCCGATCGAGCATGAATGGATAAAGGTCAAGTGCAGAAGAGGTTTCGTGTACAACGTAGCTTTGTGTGATACCATTATTATATTAAAATCCAGATGCTTCTTTGTTTAGCATATTTTTCTGTAGCTTAATTTTTAGCAGACTTATAGTTTTTGCCAAGATTGAGAATTTTTGGTTGAGTGTAGTTTGTTTTAGCTGAAAGCTACAAACAGTTTACCTGTGCTCTGTCCACCATGGATAATTGACCCCCGGATTTAAGCGTATTATTAAATCCGTAAGATTACAGCTGATTCATCGGGCGATTTTTAAGAAATTATTAATAGATGTAAAATGTAGCAAAATATTTTGAATCCAGTTTCATATGTATTTTACATCACTTTAACAGACCGCGTAGCTTTGTTTGTTTGTTGTTAAACTCAAACTACACAATGGCTATCTGTGCTTTATCCACCGCAGGTATCGAAATCCAATTTTTAGCGTGATAAGCCCTCAGACATACCACTGAGTCACGAGGTTGGGGACACTACGTGGCAAAGTAATATAATAGCGTGTGTTTGACATTTGTTTCCACTTGCCGAACAAAAAAGACTTGGTAATTTTTTGATATTTACTAGATTTTGACTTAAAACTACTTTTTCTTAATTTCTCATAGAAATCCATTTGCCAGCCTAAAATATTTCATTATACGACCACGAAAGATATATTGTTTAGTTATACTGTTTATAGATGGCAGGACTTATGTACCTTAGGTAGTGAATTAACGCAGTATGTTGCAGATGTTGAAGAACTTGTGCTGCCGGTAGGCGCATCGTACCGGTAAAGGATTCTAGTCGAAGTGCTGCAGTGGAGAAGTGAGTCGTTACTATCTTAAGCTAATTTATAAAGTTCAATTTATTATTCTTAGTTAGAAACTTACCAAAACAGGCACATGCTTAATACTGTATGCAATTTATGTCGTGCTTGCCCAATGCCGACGGATGAGAAAGAAGTAAGCTTGTCTTATTCTCCCTTATTATTTATTCACATATTTTGGTTAAGAATAGTTGATGCTTATAGTTATATGTAGTATCCGTAAATTGGTAAGATTAAACCTAGATCGATTTTTTATGAAAGTTTTTTGATGGGAATATGAAAAATAGAATTCTATTCATTACATCACTATATGAAATATTTCAATTTGTAACTGTTAAGGAAAATATGTAAGATTACATATGTACATTGTAAATGTCACAAGAATTTATCTGTAACTTAAACAATCAAACTGCATTTTAACCTCATCCGGAAACAATATTTTACTTTCCAGCCGTTGTATCAAAACGGAAATAGCCTCTTCATGTCGATCAATTTAGACGGTAGTTGCCGTTTCAAAGCGCTTCTTATATATCTATCTGTTAATAAAGCTATATAAAACACTTATTGTGACTCTTCAGATTTAAGATGTTTGGAAACAACATAACCATCTTCAATGGTTTTAACGACATAAACTTATTAACAAAAATATATAAAACAGATAATATTGATTTTAGCAACGTACGTCTATTCTAAGACTGCAGTATTATTTCTTTTGTTTTAATTTTAGTTTGGTAATTTCTGGAGAGGAAGAGAGTTTATTATATGTAAATGGATAGAAAAATTATGTTATTGTACGTTAAGATTAATATGTGTGTGTGTGTATAAAGTGATCATAGTGATAACTTACTTATACTGTCATCACAATAAATAAAATGAGTAAATATTGTGTTGGTGTATTTAAACTAGAAAAATATTTGAAGCGTATTCTTCATTTTTGTGGTGTGTATCTTGAAAATCATAAATAGCAAATACATAACGATAATTTATTACGATGAACTATTACGACGTTATCAAGAGCTAACGACATGACTATTAAGTAAAGGCAAACAAACAAAGCCTCAACAGAACTTCGTTGCTTTCTTATTTCATAGATCTTACAAGTTCAGTAAATCTACCCAATCATGTTCAGAGTAAAGAAAAATAAATAAACGACTCATCTTTCTCTTAAACAGTTTCAAACTGTGTCTTTTCACGATAAGTTTTTTTTCTTCTTTCTTTTGCTGGAGTCGATGTTGAAAAATGTAAATTTACACAAAATTAACAATTGTGGGCTCATTATGATGTTACTATAGCTCTAATCTGATTGTTATACACGATGATTTATCATTTAAAAATGTATTATTGGTTCTACATTAGCAATTGAAGACGATAAACGCATACCGGGTGTTTCAAAAATCACTTCTGCTGGTCAAGCGACAATACTTACAAGCGCATATAAAGTTCTACGATCAACAAACTAACTTTTTACACAAATACGCAAACATTCACCACTTTACGACAGACTTCTAAGCAGATCATTCAGTTACTTTAAAAAATCTGTACAAAAATGTAATGTTACGCGCATTAGATCGCTATATCGTACATGATATAAAGGAGCCTCTCACCCATAAACATGTATTATAAGTGTAGTAATCTGCCACCTATTGCTAGACCTACTTAATATATCATCATTATTCTGCTTGTTAGTATGTACGACCGAGAACCTGCTGCATAAGCATGCGTAGTTAGAATGTTCCCCAAGAAAAACTGCGCATGCGCATTATTCACTCGACGACAAACATCTGCCTGCGGCAGA